CACACACACACACACACACACACACACACACACATATATATTTCTTTAGAAAAACTAATAAAATGAATTAATAAACAAATAACTAGATAAATATAAATATAATATATAAGTTTTTTTTTTTTTAAATATATATATAAAATAAAGAATAAAATTCAATAAATAAAATAATAATATAAAATTAATTAATAATAATAAAAATTAAAAAATAAAAAATAGTAAAAATAATTAAAATTATAATTAAAATAAACACTTAAGCAACACTGGTAAAAGACCATAATACGTAGAAAAATATAATAATACAAAAAAGGCAACCGGAAGCAAATTAACAAATAGTACCTTCGCAAATTGGCAAAACTAACAAGTAAAAGTATGTTGTCCCTCTATGCCCCATAAGCAAGAATAATACAAAAACGCTCGGAATAATTCCTGCAGGTAGCTATATGCAAATACTCTCCCTCTAATGAAGATAATCCGCTACCCAACTCGTAGCTTACAATGAACCATAATGCATACCTCCACCAGGAACCTGTAGCTCCTATTGGCAAATCAAAACTGCACAGACAACCTTCTTCACCACATCAACCACATTTCGTACTCTAGTTATGGGTACGATTGTCATTATACGAAACCAGAAATTGCACAAGCGCAACAAGTGCACCGAGTTGCCCACTTCAAAATATTTAAGACCATCACGTATATGCGGAAATGACCCAATGTCTTCTACAGATACGACAATAGCTTTTAACACCACACTGAAACTACACAGGCAATACACAAAAAACAAAAACTCACTCCTACAGGACAAAACGAAACACGACGATACCCGCTGCCCCCATAGCCAGTACCTCACGCCAACGATGAAAAAGACACACTGGTACACATGATCGTGTGCACCAAGATAAAGCGATAAGACGAAACTACCCTGACCGACTCTAAGTTCACGCGTCACAGACCGAGACCAATATCCGCAATCTGCAAAGAAACTTCCTACAGCACAGACTATCTCACACGTCTCATGACGCTGCAGACCCACTTGCCATACTGCACCTACACAGCTATTGTTGCAGACATACTCCCACAAAAAGGACTCCACCCGTGGCTATTGCCGCAAAAATCCTTCCCCTACCTTGCACCCTCCTACACGCACACGTGGCACCATTCCGCACGCACCCGCGACGTACCCTTGATACGCATAGCCCATACCATGATTTGCTCTATTATACAAGCACTACCCACACAACCATACTCCCCTTCATGTTGCTGCATGCGCCATGCAACAAAGCTACATATGCAACTGCATGTATCATCTCGCTACCTCATTGCTACAACGTCGCATACACTACGTCTCCTTTCTCACGAAACGAGAGTCCCCCCTGTTGCTCGTGTCGTAGTACAGTTGATCGGCTGAGAGCAAAGTGGGTACCTGTTTTCTGCCGGTCACAGTACAGTGCATCGCACGCTGTACGTCCACCGTGAGTTTCTGATACTTCGCTGCGAAGGCCACAACTCCGGCCATGGCGGCTGCTGACAATCCAGCGGCACCGGCTATAACGACACAGGTATGACTCGCTAATTTCATATCCCCCTTAAATGCCCGCCATGCCTCCCGCCCCCTCTCTCTCTCTCCCCCCTCCGCTAGTTAACAGGAGTAATTGATTACTAAGCTAATTCCTTTTGATGAGCTGCTATGGGTGCTACGCGGCGAAAAGCGCGCTTAAGGGTGTGCACCCCCCCTATGGTTAGGTCCTTCGACCCTCTCCTAAACCCTGCCAACCTACTAATACTAATTTGAACTGCTCCCCTCTTAAAATTGCCACTTGTTGTGTGAACCCTGTATCGGGCTTATTTCCATGGGCATGATGGTTGTCTATTGTCCCAATCTCTTGGGATGGCTGTGTTCTTTACACAACCCCCCCCACACACTCGCCCGGATCATTGATCCTGATGCCATGGCTGGGGTCGAATCCCCACCTCTTTAGACTATGCCTACAAGTCCACACTAACATCACTGGTTGACTGGTTCCCCAACCTAATACCACCACAACCCAACTGCCATACCTGCAAACCAATCCTAGCCGACACCCCCCCACCCCCCACCCCCAACCCCCAACCCCCACTGCCAACTGCTTACGCATCGTCTGCCATCACAACTGTATATTGTACTACCACGAAAAACTATACGCACATCTATACTATTAACACATACAGAAATTATGACACAACACCTAGCACTGATTAACACACCACCATCCCAGTAACTAGCTATTATACTCCTTTATTGTAAAAGTATATTATATGTAGTATTGGTACCGATGCATCAATCACAACTTGAGACATCACGTGTGATGATGCGCATCCACCACGAGCAATCGATATTGTCGTAGATCTTGTTTTTGACATGTCAAAACTCTAAGTATGGGACGATCATTCAAGACTATCACCATCCATCGAAAACTTCCAAGAATGACCGTAATCACGTCTAAGATACACAGACCAACTCTTATATTCCCCAAAAAACAATTTGTACAACCTGGTCTTCCTCCCTCTAAATCCAACACTCGTCTAATCTATTCTCCACCGCCAACTCTTTTTCAGATATCGCCCTACGCTTAGGTTCATGAAGACAACCGAAGCGACCGGAAACATCTCAACAAGTATTGAAATGAAATGGTTGTCGGATTTATGCCACATACCCGTCGCGCTCGCAAATGTCATTTTCGTAAGTTCTTTCAAATTTTGGTTGTAAACTTTTTGGTTTTAACACTTCCTTAAACAGTTCAATAGGCGCTTTAACCTTCGACTTCTATTGATGCGCCGTCTACATCCGTCACTTCAACCCCCCCTTGCCTTTCTCATAAAACCTCTTTTACCGTCTCCAGTACTTCTACAGATTTAGGTCTGAACTTTTCTGTGATGTTCACATTACGTTATGTTTACGACTGACAATAACTACGTTATGTTTACGACTGACAATAACTATTGATTGCAACTGTCTAGTGTTTGCGATTCCTCTTAACCCTGGATGCTTTGGCTAAGAACTTTTACGAATATAGGAATCCTTGAATCCAGTGTTCGCATAACTTCTTGGATACCATTCTTCTATGATATGAGTGCGCCATAATTAAAAACCTCGTATGCTATATTGAGATTTTATCCTCTCTCTACGAAGCAATGCTGAGCATTCTAAAAATCCTATATGGTTCGCTCTTTAGGTTTCCGTTCATTTGGTGAGTTAACAATAGTACCATAGTATATGAGTATATATACATATATTTTCTAATAAAACTGCGTCCACTAACGTCTTTTTTGGTAAGCTTTTTTGAAATGTTGTTTTTTTAAGCAAAGCAACAAACGTTGCAACTCTCGACTCATACCCTTGACGTACCAAATGTAACAGACCCTGAATCAAAATGATATTTCTGCCGCAACAAGAATTGAAAGAATTTTCTTACCACCACCATTACACAGGCAGATATGAGGTTTTCCATGCTGTTTCACACTCCGTTATGCGTTGATGACTATTTTTTCTGTATAATAATAGCGCTATCAACATTTATTGACTACATATTTGCAATTCCTCTAAATCACGGTTTTGACAATCACCGACGAAGACGTATGTAGGGTTCGCATTACTTCATGGGCACCCTTCTTCGACCATCAGACATATGTCTACCATATTGATACGTTGAAAATACCATATGATAAACTGATACCATATCCTCTCTACAAAGTAATTTCGAAAATACTAACTTAAATCTCCTAGACGCACCAGACTCCTAAACAGATGTTGCTTTGGATTAGTCATCATACGTAGTTCCACAAAAACGAGAAGATGTATAAGACTAAAATGGCAGGGCAAAGCCAGATTTTCAGATGTCGTCTTACTATCATCTAGATTGAGAGTTGGTTACAATCTTTTTGCTATTTGCTAAGTGGTGGTTTAGTCACTTTTTTCGATGGTTTGTATGAATGTTATGCGGAGCCCTTTCTGTGTTCTTCCTTGAGATGTTGCAAAAAGTCAATGTTGTGTTCCGATCATATAATAGGAAACCATTTGGAACTATTCTTCTGGTTTGTATAGATCGATTTCACACAGAACATGAAGACACGTACAAGTGGGTTGGTTCATGGGTCGGTTCGCCTATACTTCCTACGTTTTTTATTTCTTTTTTTTTACTGAAAGATTAGTACACGGGTTTGCAACTCCTTTTCCAAACGTATAAGTGGACCAGTGTCACTACTACTTCAAGTCTGTTTTCATCACCCAGCCTTACGCACAATTAATGACGTAAATATAGAATAGCATGTTGATCCCTCAGTAAAATTATATAATTGTTTAACCAATCGTTTACTAGGCGCTATTGCATCTAACAGGAATTTAGCATATTAATATGACTAAATATGATTCAATCAATACCTTCACCTGTTCTCGCCAAGAAGAATCACCTCATACAACATAAGAATGAGAGAACTTCTATATACTTCGGTACACGCTTCCTTCGAAATCATGAAGTAGCACTATTACACCCGAAGATTGGTTAAATCCCGCGATATATCCGGGGTTCTTTCCGATTAGTACAATAAATAAAATACACTTTCGTACATAATGATCTATACATCAGTCATTGAGTAAAATACACCCATGACACACCACATACTAACTTAAATCTCCTATACGCACCAGACTCCTAAACTGATGTTGCTTTGGATTAGTCATCATACATACTGCAACAAAAACGAGAAGATGTATAAGACTAAAATGGCAGGGCAAAGCCAGATTTTTAGATGTCGTCTTACTATCATCTGGATTGAGAGTTGGTTACAATCTTTTTGTTATTTGCTTAGTGGTGGTTTAGTCACTCTTTTTCGATGGTTTGCATGAATTATATGGGGAGTCCTTTCTGTGTTCTCCCTTGACATGTTGCAAAAAGTCAATGATGTGTTCCGATCATATAATAGGAAACCATTTGGAACTATTCTTCTGGTTTGTATGGATCGATTTCACACATAACATGAAGACACGTACAGGTGGGTTTGTTCATGGGTCGGTTTGCCTATACTTATCGAGGGAAGGATTTATTTAACCAATCTTCGGGTGTAATAGTGCCACTTCATGATTTCGAAGGAAGTGTGTACCGAAGTATATAGAAGTTCTCTCATTCTTATATGTGTAATGTTGTATGAGGTGATTCTTCTCTGCGAGAACAGGCGAAGGTATTGGTTTAGTCATATTTAGTCATATTAATATGCTAAATTCTTGATAGATACAATGGCGCCTAGTGAACAATTGGTTCAACAATTATACAATTTTTATGAGGGATCAACATGCTTTACTATATTTACGTCATTAATTGTGTGTAAGGTTGGATGATGAAAACAAATTTGAAGTAGTAGTGACGCGGGTCCTCTTATACGTTTGGAAAAGGAGTTGCAAACCCGTGTACTAATCATTGAGAAAAAATAAAAAAGAATAAAAATAAAAAATAAAAAATAAAAAATAAAAAATGTAGGAGTTAAGTGGTATTGGCGTGCGGGATATATCCAGGGTTTACTCCGATGTTTTTTACGATATATTAGCACAATAAATAAATTACACTTTCGTACATAATGCTCTATACATCTGTCATTGAGTAAAATACACCCTCCATGACACACCACATACTCACACTGATAAAATAATATTTTTTCCGTTTACCCAAACCTACTTACATCTTAAGCAATTTCGCTATGCATATGCACACTCCACACACATACACCATACGTCGTGATTTCCTTTATAAGGATAAAGGGAGTGGTTGCACAGAACAAGATTGGCAAAATGCGACAGTATGATTTCGTCTTAACCCCGGCCAAAAAAAACTTTGCTTCCCCAGCTGCCTTAGACAGAACCAAATCATCATAGCATGTCCGTTAAAAGATGATCATGATACAGCACCTGCTTGCCTCCTTCCTTTTTTCGCACACGTCTATTGAATGGTTGACAGGATAGGTCGATCCATTGCGCAATTACTATATACGATATGAACATATCCCACAAGCACGCGATGAATTGGGACTAGATAACCAACCTGTCGTCGGAAAAAAACGTTTCTAAACTGCTCCCTTATACATTGTACTTATTGCTCACATTCCGACACAGTATGCTCGCATGCACACGAAAGAATTCATATTCAACACATATCACCTTGAAGGTTCATGCATCACTGTGCTGAAACGCATGTTTTCAATTAAAAGGCTATGATAGCTCTCAAATGTATAGATATGCGAAATCCGAATGGTGAGGATATCACAGCCTAAAATCCGGCGAGAAAACAGGATTCCCGAACCCACAAACTATAAAATGTTGCGTACTACCCTATTGGAGCACCTACTGGTAACCCTCGTACTCCTTGATCTCCCCCCACAACTCCTGTCGTGATAAGGGGTCGCCAATCGCCACGACCCAACCTGTCGTTGGAACTATAAAACCCTGATTTTCAATCGCGAGCGCAGTCACCAATGCCTTTAGGATACACAACAATAGATCCTTGCCATCCGCAGGTTCCCCAACAGGAATCACTTCACCAAACCGACGCAAATAGAAACGAAGAGTGACTAAAGATCCTTGAAGGTATGAAACACCAACTCCCACACGAAGAACCATACGTCCATTCAAATTTACATCATACGTCCTTGTCATGCTCCGACCCTCCGGCGATGAGCCCCATGGCTCCATACCAACGGCAGCATCACGCAGGTACGCTCGCTCCAAAATTAGGATGGTATCGCCTTCCACGACGCCATGATATGCTACCTCGTAATCCATCCCTCGCGTTCCGTGTTCCCTACTTACGTTTGCAAAATTTCAAAGAAGAAACACAATCTTGCTCCCTTTTCCCTCTGACGAAAACCACACTTCCCTGAACAAACACCGCACGTCCGCACAATCTATAAAGAATACAAAAAAGTATCGCCTCTGCCGATTCCCTCCTCAGCAAACACACACCGACATGCCCACCATAAAATGATTGTGATCTGCGTTGTTCAGTACGCGAACACTCGTAAAAACCGCTTGACTACCGAATATCTCACTCCCTCTTATACAACATGACTGGACGATCTTATGTATAAAAGGGCCAACCTCTTTCCGTCTCTACAATTTCGCTAAACAGAGAAACAAATCCCACCTTGACGGTCAACGAGCCCTATCTAGAGAACCAAAATGTCCCAGCATAACTAAAAAAACAGAAAATAAAAACACATAAATTTGCACAAAGTATTGGCCCCTACCTGGATTATTCAAATAATAAGAAGAAATTATGAATAAAATAATTTGAACAAAAAACGAGTATATCATAACTTAGAATAGAAAATTAGAAAAATAGAAAATTTAAAAAATTAAATTAAAAAATTAAAAATTAAAAAATTAAAAATTAAAAATTTTGAAAAAAATTAAAAAAATTAAAAAAATAAAGAAATGATTAAAGATTAAAATATGTAATAAATAATAAACAATAAATAACAATAAATAATCAATAACAAATAATGATAAAAAATTATAAACATAAAAAATAAAAAATAAAAATAATTAAAAAAAAATTACAATAATATTGTAAAATAATAAATAATAAATAATATATATATATATATATACCTAAAAAAATAATAAAAAGTAATAAATAAATAAATAAATAAAAATAAAAAAGTAAATATACTAAACTGTTGTTTTTGCAAGTATTCTAAATAAACTTAAAGAAAAAACCTATTCGGTAAACTACGGATAAAAACCGCAGAGTACCCTCATGCATACACCCGATCTATAAATGAAAAAGACTTCGATATGAATAATAAAAGCACATACCAAACGCAGCACACGCAAAACAAATACGCACGCATGCAGCTAGAACCGTACATCATTATTAAGTAGCCCTCATAAAACCTATGACCATAACTCTCAGCCTGCCAATCAAAATTAATGTACATAACAGTTCGATACTTAAACCTAGCACATTATAACATAAAGATGTGTTTTGCCCCGCTTCCGAATATACCCAGATCACGAGAAAACATGCCTGCATCCCATGATTGACCTTCTCCTGATGAGATCCGGTTGCAAGACGCCCGATTCTATTAGGTTGTGTAGACATATAGAACCAAACTGATAATTTGAGACGCCTATACAACGTTCTAGCTTAATATGCAAGACTGAGGTTTGCATCTGCAAGTTGCACCACCATGTAACTAACCATGAATACATACCGATATATGTGCAGGATGAAGACAGCATCCTCATGGGATGGCACCCAGAGCTTGCTACCGCCATCAGACCTTTCTCAGCACTGCGGCCGCCCATTGTACACTGCCAGATTGCCATGCTTGCGATCCCCGCAGATGTATTACTGCAGGTGTACGAAGCGACGTTGGGACAGCCCCCTTTCCTGATTGAAAATTTCTCCTTCAGCGATTGGGCTTCGCTTGTCCACGTCATGCAAAGCAAACCGCAGGAGCTAGACGCCAAAATTTAAGACTTCGCCGAGAACATTGCTGAATCCTGCAGAAAGGCGGCTATCGAGAATAAAAAGCTTAACCTTATCATAGGTAAGGTCGAGAAGATCATCCTCGAGTTGCACGGATATGATTCTTCACACCTTGACTCCGCTGGGCAAGTCTCCATCTCCGAGAGAACCGAAACATTCAGCGAAACATACATCAACCGTATGTCGCTCTCACAAGTCGAGCTGGAGTACTTCAGGAAGAAGGAGGCCGAACGTATGAGCAATGCGCACATTGAGCTTACTCCATTCACTAGAGACGCAGGGCATCAGTTCCCTAAGAATAGCCCTTTTTTGCCACTCGCGTCCAACACCTGGACATAGAAGGTTGTGCAACGCGTCCATAACCAACTATGGAAGCTTGACACTTTCAACTACACTGCGCCCATCAGCGTGGAGGCTTACATGGCGCTTGCTGCAATCACAGATGCTAAGGTAGATAATTGTCGCAATGCTGCTAGGAATGGTACTATCTACTTCCCAGCAACCAGAGGCGGTTTTGATGCAAAGTTCCCACCGATTGCCAAGCTTGAGAATGGCAAATGCCCAAACAGACCGCTCCTTCATCAAAAAGGCATCCCGAACTTCCCGGCTGACCTCTCCGAACTCAAGAAGCTCTGAAACGCAGGGAGACCATATCTGAAGTGTGCGCGCCCCGCATGCGAGAAGAATTTCACATGGTTCGACCACATGATCTGGTACATCATCAGAAATCTAGACAAGATCGACCCACTCGCTCCTTCAGACAAGATCAGGATGCTTGAATTTCAAGCACTCCTTCGTACGACATGGACAAAGGCGATTCTTGCGCAGATCTCCTTCATCTTCATGAGAGAATATATGATTAAAATTGTCAACCTTCTCACAGAGAACAGAAGGATCTCTGCAGAGGAGACTGGAGTACGAGGATTTCATATATGTTTCATTCGTACACAAGTTCAGTGCTGTGTTACTGCCCGGCGCTGAAGGTTTGGTGTCGCAAACAACAAACACTCGGCGCACTACAGATGCCGAAGATAACTCGCTAAGAAGATGTAGGCAACTGAGGCTCGGCAGCACGCTTACCTCAAATGCGTCACTCACCTCACCGTTCCAAGCAAATGCCAACACCCCATTGCAACGGCCACACGCCAGCTCTACGCGCATAGGACCTCCCTGCAGCAGACCTGGCACCACACCTGCAACCAGTCGCACGCCTTGCCAAGCAAACACCGCAAGAACACCGATTGCAGCCACCACACCCGCAACTGCAGTACACACTACACCCCCGAACACCAGCAGCCCGATACCACTGCACGAGACAACTGACGACACAACGATTCATAATGCAACTCCTGCTGGCTTATATGCTACAGCTAGCACAATCCTCCGCAATACACCTAACACCGGAAACAGCACCACCCCCAATGCGAACTGCAACACTGCTGCCGCACCCCAAAGACACGTTCCTGCTTCGAACACAGGAACCTCGAACGGGCTCATGACAGGAAATTTCGCACAGACATGTGGTAGCACCCTTGCTAGCGCTGCTGCACAAATCGCCACGAGACAAGCTAACGCTGCTGCCGCACCCCAAACACATGTTCATTCTCATATATAGACATCTGGTAATACACTTGCCAACGCTACTGCACAGTTTGTCGCGCGATAAGTAAACACAACCCCGTCTGGGAACCCTGCGGCTCTGCCCTCAACAGGACGAACCAACGCAACAGGAAGTAGTTGCACACTGCTCTTGAACAATTCAACCGCACTGCACATTTTGCACTATGGAGCTAACGCTCAACCCGGGTTCGCAACGTCACTCCCACCTCACCTTACTTCATACATGAATAACCGCAATATCCCAACATGCACTGACACCGAAAGACAGGCTCGCTGACGAGAAATGCTTCTCAGTATTGCTATGAATCCCCTCCCTGCAGAAGTAAAAAAGAATCACAGAAGAGGAAACAAAACGCAAAGAATTCTGACAGCAGAGGGAGGGGCGCTAAGCAAAAGACATACAAGGAGGAAGAAGATGCAGTATGATAGAAGACAGCCAGATATCCATGATGCCCTCATGGCACAACAACAACGATTGCCGATACTTGCTGCATAGCAGCAGTCACCAACCAAGGAAGCGTCTGGAACAATGACTGTTCAAGCACAGAGATCTCCTCCCGCACTTGCATGTACTAACTAGGAATGAACGCCAAGCGCAAATAGTATCATGGCACAATGGACCTTGAGGGGCAAAGCGGCGATAGTGCCGTCCTCGGAACAGCAAGACGCAGCAGACCTAGAGGTGATCTAAGTAAGCAGTTGTGATATCAATGATGAAGAGAGAAGACAACTCCCCATCACAATCAGCTCGCCATCACCTGACACCCCGATCCGCCCAATCTCGGCCATCGATGCCCTTAGAACGAACTATGGAGCCAGCAGCGCAGACCCCTCTCTGCTCCGAACAAACAGCGGAAGCATGACTCAAATGAACGAGTCGCAATCATCAGATGGGACCTGGAAGCGAGCATGTCGGAGGCTCAGCCCAGACTACCAGCACAACTTTCCTAGTATTACTTTAGGCTAGATCGATAAGGAACAGCAGCATACTGCTAAGCAAAGACTTTTCTTACAGATCACGTAGGCTGATTACCTTTAAACAGGCTAAGTAATATGAAATCGACATGGCTGCTATCTGAAGACAAACAAGGCCGTTTTTTTGGCAGATTATCTATATAGGTGGACTTTCCATGATTTTTTTAGTTTCTACAACAAGTGTCTAGCTAACTACCCTTAAAAATACTACACTGGCTCGCCACCTATAGATCCTTAAGTTTAGATAGGTTGTGTACCTATAGGCAGAAGTTTGACGAGCCTATTAATTTTTGTAACTAATGATAGGCCAATCCGGCACATGATGCCGGCTTGGCTCAAGAAACTTTTTGACAGGAATACCTGGCCTCATCTCTTCGGCTTTTTTGAAAAATGCATCTTGACTTCTTCTAATTTTTGCTCTTGCGATTTGAACTTTGTGTATACTACGAAAAGTGAAATGCCTGGCTCCTACGTGCCTGAGATATGACTATGCTCGCTCTTTTGAGGTTCTAAAATGGACTGTTATATATAACCTGTTGACCGTAACACCCAACATTTTGCCCCCCACTACCGTCCAATATGAACCCAAACCCGTAAGATTACAGCCCACTAATAAAGCGAAGTCTACATTCAAACCGACCCCATCTTCCCTGCGCTTGTCAAAAAGACGTTATAAATACATTTCATGAAAATACCACAGCACTAAAAATGACCACCCATACTATAACAGACGCATACCGTAAGCTTTAAGACCACTATCTCACGTAATAGTTACACTACGTATTTTCCTGAAACCTCTAGACGCAGTAATACGATTCCCTGTTCTCAACCGCTCCTTGCCCACATGCTTTCCTCTTACTTGTAAACGCCCTCAACCTGTCATATAATTGCCTGTGGATTGAAGAAAATCCCTCTTTCTCACCCACCGCCCACAATTGCAAATAAAATGAAGACATAAAACCAAAGTTGTGCTATTTGCCCTCCGTAACTTTGCCCCCTGGCTCGAATAACTGTTTGATGGATAAGCATCACCCGCACCACAATTACCATTCATTAGCTCCATCTCTAATTGTCAATATCTCTGTTAAATGTGCAGGATCATCGACTTCGACAAATGGAAGTCGGAAGACTCGGATGGAGATCGAAAAAAAAATCAAACAAACAGATTATCTCCTGTCACTACGCAAACCAACTGATGGACCGAATCAAATTTAATAACATCCTTCAAAAAATAATACTCAACTATAACCAGGATGTCGTTCGCTCCCTAGACAATTTCACGTTCTCATGGACATACAATGATCATATAGCCAAGACACTCTACAAACCTGCTGCAGTATTTCGGGATTTTGAACTTGCTACATGGATAGAGCAAATCCCAGAAAGATGTTACTGCCAACAACCAAGATATAAAGATTTTTAGAACACGCTGCCAGCAGACATGCTTCCCAAAGAAGAACCACCGCACGTTACTACACTTGACCTCAACATCTGCAACAATGCTCAGCTACGCAACATATTAAAAAAAGGACTCAACCACATTCTCCCTGCCCCGCTAGATAAAAAGAACGCAACCGCTGCTGTAGACCAAGTATAGACACAACTCACCTTATCCCTCCTAAATAATGGTACACCCCTAAGTAATCTGCAAAAGAACAGGCAAAAACAGAATTTGATAAGGTAATGAAAGGCAACCTCGAAAATGTAATTACACATAGAGTAATTAACTTAAACGATCATGCAATCAAAAATGAAATTAACTTCCTTACCAGACACTTCTACAATTCTGGAGCTGACAAGGCTCCCAACACCCCAGTCGTCTCCTGCATAAACCTGGTAAGATTCCTTACTCTGCAAAGGCTCACCAGCCCAGACTTTGAGCAACATATGATATTTGTTGTTGAACTTCTAGACATCATGAAACTAGAGATGGCAATGAAGTTCCCAGACATCCCCATAGGAAAAATGGAGATTCCCTACCTACTCGCAACATACAAAAAACACAAAAACTCCTTCCGATGGCTAACTAATGCAGCAGACGTCATTACCACATCCCTTACTGATCTAACAGCCGCCGTCCTTGCTGCCACAATCCGAATGGTGAAAACTCACCATGGCGCACTAACACAAAAGACACATGCAGAAATTGGACTCAGAATCCCTTTTTGGTGGCCAATAGATTCAACTCCTTACTACACATACAACCTACCCCAACAAGTTTTTTCAGTTTTCTCTGCGGACATAACTAGATGTTACGAAACAATCCCCATTGATGAGAGCCGAGACGGCCTTCCAACCGCAATTCGATTCTTCTGTAAACTAGCCTTCAGTCAAGCAAGAAAATCCTACGGTAGAAATGTGCAACTGGCCTGCAGTATGTACCAAAGCAAAGGAAAATGGACACCGCTCTGCGACTGGTATACAAGCCCGCCTAACGGCTTTCTAACGATCAATGAGAACATTGTACAAGAAATCAACATTTGGTTAATCAATAATGCTTACACATCCCTCAGGGGAAGCATTTGGAGACAGATGCTTGGCATTCCCATGGGAGTAAGTTGTTCACGAGTATGGTGCAATATATATTTTTTCAAATATGAATACAACTGTATGAAAAAAATGACACACAAAAACAACAGAAGCCTACTACACTTGTTCTAACACGTTTTTCGTTATTTTGACGACTTTCATATTTTAAACAACCCCAGGATTCACGAATTTCTAAATCCTGAGGTTACCAGCCCACGCAACAAATACTTCCTGTACCCTCTACACCTAATAACCATAAACGAAGAGACGACGAAAAAAACACAGATGAATAACAGGCTTATCGGAACACAAGCAAACTTCCTAAACACCACATTAACGATCACAAATCAGGAAATTGGGCAATACATCACAAACAAGTATGACAAAAGAAAAGATTTGGGTTTTCCTATTACACGCTTTATCCACGCCAACTCGAACAGACCTCTCCAACAATTGCTAAACCTACTTATACCATAAATTTTCACAATCATGACCATCGAAAAGGAACCACAACACGCTGCAAAAGAAATTACACTGGCTATCCAAGCTCTGCAGAAAAATGGTTTTAGAAAACATAGATTACTCGGAGTTGCATACAAAATCCTAAATAACCCTTTGGACTACCAAACTTTTCGATATAAGCCCGAAACGATACTACAGTACTTAAAAAATCAAAATCCCAACACAAGGTATTAACTTATTTATATTAAAAAAACCCCAAAAAAAAACTAGAACTATAAGGCAACATAATCTGGTCCAGAAAACATGCTGTCTAAATCGGCCAACAGAAGCTCACTTTGATTCAGATAAATATACTAACCCTGCCAAGGAGAGACCTACATCCTTGAACCTACCCCATCAGGACCATAATCAAAATGAGAAGGGGGTGGGACACACACACACACATGCACACATACACAAACATACACACACACGCGCAAAAAAATAAATAAATTAAGAATTAGATAAACAAAATATGTGAAGCACATAAACAGGTAAATAAATAAACATATAAATAGATAAATAAGCCAATAATAATAAAATAAATTAAAAAGAAAAAAGTGTAATTAATAAATAAACTAATAAATAAATTAACAAATAAACACATTATTCAATAAATAATAATAAAAGCAGTAAACATAGTAAAACACCAACACAATAAATCGTTGCAATAAACATATGGTGTGTGTAAGCCAGCAAAACTGGCTAGGTTCGAATGAAGGACCTACCCCTGTTGGAGTGGGTCCAACATCATTGGACCTACCCCTAGTTATGGGTACGATTGTCATTATACGAAACCAGAAATTGCACAAGCGTAACAAGTGCACCGAATTGCCCACTTCAAAATATTTAAGACCATCATGTATATGCGGAAATGACCCAATGTCTTCTACAGATACGACAATAGCTTTTAACACCACACCGAAACGACACAAGCAATATACAAAAAACAAAAACCTTCTCCTAGAGGACAAAACGAAACACGACGATACCTGCTGCCCCCATAGCCGGTACCTCCCGCCAATGATGAAAAAGACACACTGCTACACATGATCGTGTGCACAAAGACAAAGCAATAAGATGAAACTACCCTGACCGACTCTAAGTCCACGCGTCACAGACCAAGACCAATACCCGCAATTTGCAAAGAAACCTCCTACAGCACAGACTATCGCAGACGTCTCATGCCGCTGTAGACCCACTTGCCATACTGCACCTACACAACTACTTCTGCAGACGTACTCTCACAAGAAGGACTCCACCCCTGGTTATTGCCGCAAAAACCCTTCCCCTACCTTTCACCCTCCTACACGCACACATGACACCATTCCGCACGCACCCGCGACGTACCCTTGATACGCATAGCCCATACCATGATTTGCTCTACTATACAAGCACTACCCACACAACCATACTTCCCTTCATGCTGATCCATGCGCCATGCAACACAGCTACATATGCAAATGCATGTATCATCGCGCTACCTCATTGCCACAACGTCGCATACATTACGTCTTCTTTCTCACGAAACGAGAGTCCCCCCTGCTGCTCGTGCCATAGTACAGCTGATGAGAGTCCCCCTTGCTGCTCGTGCCATAGTACAGCTGATCGGTTGAGAGCAAAGTGGGTACCTGTTTTCTGCCGGTCGCAGTACAGTGCATCGCACGCTGTACATTCACCGTGAGTTTCTGATACTTCGCTGCGAAGGCCACAACTCCGGCCATGGCGGCTGCTGACAATCCGGCGGCACCGGCTATGACGACACAGGTATGACTCGCTAATTTCATATCCCCCTTAAATGCCCGCCATGCCTCCCGCCCCCTCTCTCTCTCTCCCCCCTCCGCTAGTTAACAGGAG